CTACTACTACTGCTGCTACTACTAACTACTACTACTACTACTACTGCTACTACTACTACTACTACTACTACTACTACCTACTAACTACTAACTACTAACTACTAACTCCTAACTACTAACTACTAACTACTAACTACTAGTACATAGATGATTATTTTTGAGATGATTATTAACTATTCTCAGCCATCATTATCATCAGTTATCAGCTAGTATCATTCAGTGCGATTCTTCTCATTCTTTTTATTATTATCAACATGATCATCATCATCATCCTCATCATCACAGTTTTCATTTTTCCGGCTACTCGTGTGCTGGGAAGCGCGAAGGTGCCATGGGATACCTAACCACCCTGAACAGGGTTTAGGGTTCCCTGAACCCTAAACCTGAAACCCAACACTCTGAACCTAAACCCCCCCCCCTCTCTGTATTACCCCGCCACCCCTGCGGGTTCCCTCTTCATGATGCTTGTTTAGGGTTACTTAATGTTAATTGAAGGGGAAGCTTATGGGGGGACGGGGGGAAGTATAAGGGGGAGTGGTTCGGAGAATTCAAAGTTAATGCTCAACATAACCTCAACAGTGGTGGAAGGGGCTATTTCAGACTTGTTAAGGTCTTACCCGCAAATATTCCTGACGGCTCTCCTCATGATTCATTGAGGCTTTGAGGTTTAGGGCTTGGGGTAAGGTTGTAAGCCCCTAGGCTGAACCCCTAAACCCTAAACCCAAACTGCGTAAGGAAGCGGCCTAGGGCTGAAGGTTTCATGAAACAAAAGTCTAAGCTCCAAATGGTGCATAGGTGCCTCAAGAGCGGCATCAAGCGCCACTGGCGGGACGCAACAAGGCCTACGGGATCCATCAAACGACCGGGCCAGCCAGCTCCGCAAATTTCTTGGCTGCTGTTAGGGCACTGAAATGCAGTCTTGACGATATGGAAACCATATACTCATATTGTGAGAACTCATTATAAAGGGGGTTATACAGGGGACTTGTATGGGGGCTCTTAAGGAGGATGCTAGGAGTTTAGACTATAACCCTATAATCCCCTATATAATCCCAGTTTCCATTTCATGTTCAAGTTTATTTTCCATTTCATTTCCATTATAGCTCATATATTCATATTATGCTAACTTATTCCAAATTGGAACAACCCAGCCTTGCTGGCAAAGTTGCAAAGGGGTTTTAATCTCCTCGACTGTTTGAGCTTCACCAGTTTTCAGCTACCCCAACCCCAGGGTTTGAGGCTTAGGGTTTAGGGTTTCGGGCTTAGCAGGGAGGTATTCGCCCTCGCTGCCCTCGATACTAAAGTCCCCTGCCTAGACATGTATTCCCCTGGATATGGTATTTCGTTATCTAAAACCCTAATCATCCATCACCTGGGGGGGTTTATTCAAAACGGGAGAGTTTTGCTCCGTCCTCCAAAGCATGGTTAACTACGGTGGATACTAAAAAATCTGCATGACCATGGCTACCTTATACCTTGGGAAGTATGGTCCTATAGTACATTCAGGTCATGCAGGATTTCTAGTATCAGCACCAGTACTTCCTGGAGAGCAGATCTTAAGAATTCTACAGGAAGTTCTTTGAAAACGATTCTAAATTTCTCTCATGTGCAATCCTAATAGCCAGCTCAAAGTACGAATTTCTACCAGAGGTCCAGGGAACTTAGAGCGGGCCAGGGAGTGGATTTGAATACCAGAAGCCCACACTTTCAAGCCCAGAGCAAGCTGGAAAGAGAGAGGTCAAAGTGCGGCTGAAAGCATGATAAGCGCGGTTTAGGGTTTAGGGTTTAGATTTGTGGCTTGAACTTGAACCCTGACATCCGCAATGCTCAAAGCGAAAGTCCTGCGTATATTTGGAGTAGCATGGGAGTTCAGATGTCCACTGCAGGAGCTCGAATGACAAGCCGGTCAGCACTCTCAGACTGACCCGGCGTGATGTTCCGGGTGGTTCCACACACTTTGCCTTTCTCTCAATTTCGAGCAGAGGATAGAGATGACCTAACCTAAACCAAAAGCCTTAAGATGTCAAATGCTTTAAGTGAGGATTTAGGGGATCTCAGAGTGCAGCTTGTGCTAGGGTGATAGGGAGTATGTCGGGGTAATATAGGATATTACCCCCCAATGCTGGAGAATCAAATGGAAAAGAACATGGAAAATTACATGGAAGCTGGGATTGTATGAGACTTTATGGGGATTCATGTCAGTCTATGCATAACACCGATTCTACAGTACATTTGGGGCTGGCTCTGTGACAGAGTTCCCCGTCGGTTCCAGGTGTGGCTAAGGCGGTATGTGCCAAAGATACTCGCCTGGCTTCTACTGGGTTGCTTTTAAGGAGCTTAAATTAAGCTACAATACAAAAGAAACCCTATTATTTGCTATATAGAAATAAGTTGGTAGCTTCAATTAAGTTCTTTGACAGCAACCAAGTCAATGGCCCTGCCAGGTAGTATGTTCTTTAAGGCGGGGCTCCTTAAAGACTCATGGTTTACGGCTTAGGGCTTAGGGTTTTTTACCACCGCGATATAGACCCTGAAATACCATGATCCTTATTACAGGGACCCCTTGAGGGTAGGCCTAGTTGTGGGAAACCTCCAAGTGTTAGCGCAACAGCCTGTTACGTCTCCAACGCCTAAGCACTTAAACTCCTAAACCCTTGAAACCCTAAACCCTTAAACCCCTTGACCCTTCAACCCCCTCAACCTTCAAAAGCTTAAACTCTGGTATCCTTTCGGCAGGGGAGGTGTTGAGAGCCACAGGGTCCCTTCTCGGAAAGATCCCTTGGTTTGCCAGGGTTTGGGGTTTGGGGTTTAGGGTTTAGGGTTTAGGGCCAGGGTTGAGGGCTTAGAGTTTAAAGGCCTGATTTGGGCGGTTGTCAAAATCATGATCCCTTTTCTGGTACCCAAAATATTAGGTGCCGTATCATAACAGGGATCCAAAAAGGGACCACAATTTTGACAACCACCCATTTAGGGTTCAGGGTTTAGGGTTTTGAGAAATAGGGGCAATAGTAATTCACAGGAGGAGACGCAGCAAACGCGATTAATGTAGGCGCGTGCACACTTGTGAACGCCATTCCTGTGAAATGCATAGAAGCCTACATCTCACGGTAATACGAGCTATAGGCTCAACTCCTCAAAGGGGTTACATAGGGGACTATATATAGGGAACTATGATATGGGTCATTAAGGGAGATACTAGGAGTTTAGATTATAGCTTAGGAGGACCCCCACCCTGTAATAGTGGTATAATAGGAATATAATAGGACCCTAATATAATCCTTCTTATCCCTTATAGTCAGGGGGAGGGTCCACCTTATAGTTCTCCGGATCCACCCTCCATGATTATGAAGCACAAGTTTAGGGTTTAGGGTTTAGGGTTTAGGGATCAGTAAACCCTAGCAAAAAGCCACCGACTCAGCTTGAGGAAACAAACTTCGGCATCTACGCCCTGGATGCATCGCGCCCAGAGACGGTCTTCACGGGGTCCCGCCTGACTTCACCAGATGGTTAAGGGGTTTAGGGGTTTAAGGGTTTAGGGGTTTAGGGGTTTAAGGGT